GACATGCAAGCATATTGGAACATACCTAGAATGCCTATGCATAAATCAGGTCATGCTTATAATGCTCAAAAATGCTAGGCAGATTTTGGAATAGAGCTTTTATCTGAGAAACTAGAATCTGAAGTGGTAACCGAATAGTGAAATTTGCATTGCAAAAAGTATTACCCAGAGTCTCTATGTACAGTACTTGCTGAGACAAGTTGAATTCAGCCAAACCCTACATCAACTCTTAGTTGCCTTGGATGTTATTAGGATAACATGGAGAGACTCATTTGGAACTGTTTTGTGACCTCCAGGATAATCTCTCATTTTAATACACACGTTTCTCTGCAGATATCACTGCACTCAGATTAAATCACAGATCCAACCACGCTACAATAACCTTGGAGCTGAGATTACATTTCATATTTGCCCAAACTATTTTTATTCCCATCCAGATGCCACTGTCTGCAGACCATTGTTTGTTTCCAGCTACACAAAAGTAAAGCTGCTATACTATGAGTTTCATTCAGAATAAGACACAACAAAGTTAACAATTCCATGTCACTCCAGTGGTCACATATTAGTCTCCAGCCTATTTGATTCCCCCCCTACAGTTGATGATTGATTCAGTACAGCCTCAGCTCTGTGTGTATCGATCATCACGGCTGAATTTATTGACTCCTGCTAAGTTAAGATATGCAGTCAAAGACCTTAAGTTGATGTTAAGCGAATTCGTGATTGCTGAGGCATTACTGGGCTTCACTCCCAGACTTCCCAAATCAATGGACAAATTCAACACAAAGCCTTTTCCTCTGCGGTCAAGTCAGAAGCCCTTTCAGCCTTGTTTACCTTGTTTATGCCTTCTTGTCTCTCTTTGAGGGCTGTAAGAGACCTGGGAGCTTATAGATATAATATAATTCAGCAGAAAATATGCATAGCTCTCTGTGGGATAGACCTGTATACTTTAATAGCATATAAACCAGGGGTGGCCAACCCTGTTCCTGGAGAGCCACCTTCCTGCAGATTTCAGTTGCAACCTATATCAAACACACCTGCCTGTAATTATCACGTGGTGTTCCGGTCCTAATTAATTGGTTCAGGTGTGTTTGGTATGGGTAGCAACTGAAATCTGCACGAAGGTGGCTCTCCAGGAACAGGGTTGGCCACCCCTGATATAAACTTTCATTTCTAGCTATTATTGCACATTTTTTGGAACTAATCTTAGTATTTGTTAAAAAAAATGGTAGACAGTATGGGGGCATGCAAGAGATCCACAGAGTGGATGGCAACATTAACAGCCTGAGGTATTAAGACATTTGTGCTGCCCATTACATTACAAACCACAGGAGAGGGCAAATTCTTCAGCAGGATAGCGCTACTCATACTTCATCCTCCACATCAAAGTTCCTGAAAGCAAAGAAGGACAAGGTGCTCCAGGATTGGCCAGCCCAGTAACCAGATATGAACATTATTGAGCGTGTCTGGGGAAGGATGGAAGAGGCGTTTAAGATGAATCCAAACAATCTTGATGAACTCTGGGTGTCCTGCAGAAACTCTTTGTTTGGAATTTGTCATTCCAGATGACTTTATTAATAAGTTATTTGAGTCATTGCAGAGATGTATGGATGCAGTCCTCCAAGCTGATGGGAGTCATACACAATATTCTTTCTTTTTTCACTGCACCCTGACATTTACTGTACATTATTTCTGTTAAGTGACAAAACTTTTGTCAGACCATACTGTCCTAATTAAATAATTAAAAATCAAGGCATGATCATATTTTATATTGGTAAAATACGCTTAATCTAGAGGCCTTTGCCTTTCACATAAGCCACTTCTGATACCAAATGATCAACTAGAAGTCAAGTTATTATTTGCTGTTCCTAAAACTTGGATTGGTGACAAGACTTTTGTCAGCTAGCGTATGTTTAAAGTATTTTTTAACATGAAGTAAATAAAGAAAGTAATCCTAAAATGATATATGTGAATGTAAAAGCATGCTAATATAGTTGTTATAGGATAATAATACATACAATTGACTCCTTTTACATGGACAGGAGTAGTCTAATTATTTGCCTTAATCTGCATAGGATAATGTGATTAAGGTGTTTACATGAGTTGCTTTTTGAATGTTACTTTCATGTTCCTATTTTACATGCTGTAGCACATAGTTTGAATAGGGTCATTGCGTCACCATTAAACGCTAGTTTACACTGGCATTTACGAACAACAGTTCATGTTCATCATTGCACCATATGTGATTTTGGCCGTTTTGTTTTATGATTTCATAACTACAGTTATTTTCTCACACTATGTGCAAACAGGTGGCGGCAGATACAAATTCTCAAGCAACAGGCTACCTCTTATTTTGTTCACTAACTTATTATTCATGACTCCGCGACAAACTCACTTATAAGTAAAGGCACTTCATAATGTCCATTTGAAGAGTTTAGATGCAAATTAATCTAAATGCCATTTGATATTTTCTTCTAAAATTAGCGTTTTTCTCAGACTCATGTGTGTAGGCTCAGTAATTTTACTTTTATAGTGACAAACAAGTTATTTCCATTGCCTTTAAAGTAAAATAACTGAACATAAACATATGAGGCTGAAAAAAATGCTAATTTTAGGAGACTATTTCAGATGGCCTTTCGGTTCTTGCATCTAAACTCTTAATTTCTTCCAGAATTCTCAGCATAGACATAATTTTTTGCAAGCTCCAAAAATGTTCTATCTTGCCTGAAGCCAAACTCAATTTTCTGTCACTTCAATAATGCGACTTTAATAATACTCCACATCTTAATTCGATTTCTGTTAGTTCGATTATGACTTTGCTGTAGTCGTCAGATTAATCTCAACAAAAAATCGCTGTTTTCATCGTAGACTCTTAATCAGAGTATTGTCTTAATCGTATTAAAATCAGAGTACTGGTGTCCATGTAAATGTACTCCATGTTAAATAGTATAACAGTGAACGTAGCATAGAGATAGATAAATCGAGTGGGCTTAAAGGGCCATGAAACCCCCTCATTTCAGCAAGGTGTTTTCACACCTCTACTTTGGAAAAAGTCAGAAAAGTAGGCGTGTCCAGCTTTGTTTAGGGGGGAGTGTCGGAGGAAGAAGAGGGATGGTGTGGGAGTGTCTATTTGGGTGAGCTGACTTTCAGAGTCAAAACACACACACACAGAGGGGACAAAGTGACTGTGTTTACATGGACATCTGTAGTCAAATTATTTGCCAAATTATTAAATGGTGGACTTTAACTGCAGTTTGGCTCTTCATTCAGGGAATTCATTCATGTCCCTCGCGACAAACGAGATATTTGATTCGAGGATCTGCTCTAAGCATGTATTTTTCATGCAATGTTTGATACCGCACAGCGAATGAGAGAAAAAAAAACTCAGCATTTCCCGGAAACTTAGATGCACTCGGCAGGTAGCGTCAGAAAGCCGCGTGTGTTATTCCGGTCACTAAATGCGGTGAAAATCCTACAGGAGGTTAAAGTTTGGTTGTAGTGCTAACATGTTTACACTCGGTGCAATAGTTAACTTAGTTCAATACGAACAAACTGAATAAACAAAGAGCACTGGTCGCTCACTTACCAAATCTGTAAAGACAGGACAATCACCAGCAACTAGAGCCGCGTCTTTATTAAGAGGAGACTAAAGCGAATCCGGATCTCAGCATTTGCAGATGAGAACAGCTCTCAGGTAAACAATAATCCTCCTTAGACACGTAAGTTATTGTTGTCGAGCGTCGCATACACTGTTAATCCACACGTGACTTCAGCTGCGCTCTCACAGAGAGTAAATGAAAACAAAACTTAACTGCAGCAAACTATAAAAGCAACACGTCACGCTTGTTTTGCCAACACAACGTGGCGTCTCTGTCGTGTAAACACGGTGATAGTAATGAATATTAATGAAGTTGCACAATAGAGCGCGCTGATTGGTTTGAACCAAGCCTTACTCATGCATTAATGCAGCACACTGTAAGACGTAATAAGACACACTTTGGCACAGACGCCCAGTCTGCACGCTGGAATACAACGCTATTATGTCATGACCGTGACGCAGCTTCAAAAATTAGTTTCAAACAGGAAGTACAAATTTGCTTGAAATAACGCAAAAACAACCAATTTATACTTTTTAGTGAAATATAGGTGTCCTAATAGTGTTTTTAGCAGTGTGGGACACATATACGACTGTCAACAGCTCAAAAAATGTGTTTTAGTGTTTCGTGACCCTTTAAATCAGTGCTAATATTAGTTCTTTATGAAGGGTGTGATCCACAGGAGACTCCAGCTTATTATGAAAGTGATATAGAGCACAGTCACAGGTTTGGGCTGAACAATGTCTAAGGAATTGATTGTGGAAGAGATGGATGGTTGTATACACATGTGCATATACACTCAAAACAATAGTGGCGGCCTGAAAATGCTGTCCACTATTACGTGTACGTATGCACACGTGCGCACACATGCGAGCACAAGGGCAGAGTTTATTTCAATATAGAACAATCAAGATAGTTTAAAGCACAGTCCTCATTGTGTATTGTTTTATATCAAGGTTGAATGGTCTGCCAAAACTACTTGCACACACAAATGGCAAAGTTCCCAATGTTATCTCCTTTTGCATGGCCATCTCCATGACCTCCTTGGCGACATGCTAATTTAAGGATGGATGATGTCATCACAGTGATTAAACTGAATGTTGTGATAAATCCAATATGGACATTATGTGAACAGGGTTGTTGAGATTATAGCCGGATGTATATATCTGCCTGTTCATTTTTAATTAGCACTTGAGAGTCAGCAAATTGACAGATAAAGATGTTTCCTCCCATGTTAACATGTCAATCGATTGCATATGCTGCAAACCTTAAATTAGCATCAGTCAATAGTTCAGGCTACGCTGATCTGAGTCTCAGATGCGTCTGCCAGCATTTAGACCATCAATCTGTGATGCTGCTGAAAAGTGTGTGTTTGTGTGCTCTAATAATACGCTTCTCTGTTTCCAGCTGTATTTTGGGGAGACATTGCCTTGGATGATGAGGACTTGAAAATGTTTCACATCGATGGGACGATAGACCTTAAGCAACAAACACATGGGAGGCAAGGACACACATCTGGTAAGACGCATCAGATATCACAGGCCTCCAGATTACAGCTATTGACCGTAATTAGCAAAATAAAGACTCTTATGAACCAGTACTTTTTTGTGTTTTGTTAAATTCACCTGTAGTCTTGCAGTTTAAATCAGATTCCCTTAGTTAATCATACTGAGAAGTTACTAATTCTGAGTTCAAACTGAATGATTTTAGCCCTGATTTTCATTTTCAGTAATTGCCAATATCTGTAAAATACACTATCTGACAAAAATCTTGTCGTCAATCCCAGTTGTAAGAGCAACAAATAATAGCTCGATTTTTATTGGACCCTGTTTGGTGAAAGAAAAATCATTGTTTAATTATTTAATACATTCATTATGGGGTGTGTGACATACACAGCATCAACAGCCTGATGTATCAAGACATTTGTGCTGCCCATTACATTACAAACCACAGGAGAGGGCAAATTCTTCAGCAGGATAGCGCTCCTTCTCACACTTCAGCCTCCACATCAAAGTTCCTAACAGCAAACAAGGTCAAGGTCCTCCAGGATTGGCCAGCCCAGTCACCAGACAAGAACATTATTGAGCATGTCTAGAGTAAGAATAAAGAGGAGGCATTGAAAATGAATCCAAAAAATCTTGATGAACTCTGGGTGTCCTGCAAGAACGCTTTCTTTGCCAGATGACTTTATTAATAAGTTATTTGAGTCATTGCAGAGATGTATGGATGCAGTTGTCCAAGCTCATGGGAGTCATACACAATATTCATTCTTTTTCCACTGCACCATGGCTTATATTCTATTAGACCTTACTGTCTTGATTAAATAATAAAAAATCAAGGCATGATCATATTTTATTTTACTGAAATAGGCCTAATCTAGAGGCCTTTACCTTTCATATAAGCCACTTCTGATACCAAATGATCGACTAGAAGGCAAGTTATTATTTGCTGTTCCTAAAACTTCAATTGGCAACAAGACTTTTGTCAGCTAGTGTATTTAACATGCTAAATATTTTGACCTTTCAGCAGTTCAAAATCTATCTAAAAACTGTTGAAAACTGCCTGAAAAATACATTGGCGATGACTTGCAGCCTGTGAAAGAGCAAGAAACAGGGCAGTGGGGTGTTTAGGTAGGAGTTATAAACATGAACATGAACTCTTTTGGACCCAAGAAATGTAGGAAATTTTGAATCTTGTATTATTTATAATACGATGTAGTGGCGCAGTAGGTAGTGCTGTAGCCTCACAGCAAAAGGATCGCTAGTTCGAGCCTCAGCTGGGACAGTTGGTGTTTCTGTGTGGAGTTTGCATGTTCTCTGGGTTTCCTCTGCATGCTCCAGTTTCCCCCCACAGTCCAAAGACATGTGGTACAAGTTTATTGGGTACGCTAAATTGTCCATAATGAATGAGTGCGAATGAGTGTGTATGGATGTTTCCTAGAGATAGGTTGCAGCTGGAAGGGCATCCGCTGCGTTAAACCTGTGCTGAATGAGTTGGCGGTTCATTCCGCTGTGGCGACCACGGATTAATAAAGGGACTAAGCCAAAAAGAAAATGTATAAATAAATTAATAAAGTCATAAGTGTGTAAGTCGCAGATCAATTGTACAGCAATTCAGTGCTACCCCAGATAGTCATGCAGTTTATAATCTGCTGTGAAAATCATGCAGTGTGAACAGCATAAGACTGACTAGGGCTTTTTATATGTATGTATATATGTATTTTAAATATATATATCAGTGTTCAAAACAACCTATTGAAAAATAGGTTGAATATTGTAGGAAATAAATTAGAATATTCTCATTTGAAAAAGAATCTTTATTCTGTAATTTGACATCTAGCAAGTCATATAGCGAATAAAGTTTTATGTTTACTGCTTTTTTCTGAAACAAATTTATATGACTTGTTTGTTTCATAAGTCTAACTTGTTGTTATAAGTCCGTTATCATCACTTTTCACAATTTTTTAAGTTCAACTCCAGCAATGAGCTTTGGTTTGTTTGTTGGACATAATTACCTTTTAGAGCAGTGGCATATAATATCAGTGTAAGTAGTTTAAGTAAATCAGATCGCCTGTCAATTCAATTCTCTATATAGAGTACATTTAAGATTTTTTGGTGAATAAACTTTAAATCTAGCAACAAAAATCTCTCATGTAAGGCATGATGTACATTCAGCTAGTGGTTATCACAGAATAAAGCCTGACAAGCTTATCGGCAGCCTGACATGGAGAGGAGGGCTGCTGTATAAGAATGGCATGCTTTACTCTGCCAAAACAACCTGCTGGAATTAATCTCACTTATTCTGTGGCTACTTGCCAAAAAAGTAAACAATTAGGCACAAAAAATTGATCTGAGCTGTAATAGTTTACTATCTTTGTAAAAAAATAAACATAAAGCTTGCAGAAAGAATAAAGAAATCTTAATAAATGGTTTGATGCAGTTGAGCTTATACATTCCTGACTGATTATTAATAATATTCAGTTGCATAATGGCACCAAAATCAAGAACAGGGGACTGACAAATATATATAAAACGCACAGCAACATCAAGCGAATCTCTAAAAAAATGGCCGTATTGCTCACTAAACCCCATATATTTCATTAAAAAGTTTTACCCACCAACTGGCAACTGAGTCTGCTATGAATACTCTACATTGCTAAGTTTATTTGCATTTGGAGCTTGGTGAATGTTAACTTTAGGCCATATATATATATATATATATATATATATATATATATATATATATATATATATATATATATATATATATATATATATATATTCTCCAAATGTCTGGATGATTCATAGTTAACAGATGAGCCTTATTAGTTATGCGGAATAACATACTTTAAATGTTGTGATTGCCCAATCAGAATCAAGTATTCCAGACAGCCATGTAATTAATTGTATTAACAATACCTTCAATTGTGTTGTGAAGATGAATGGATTTTTTTTATGTGTTTGAAATGACAGGTGGGCGAGTAGAGGTTTTCACATTTGTCATACTCTGAATCGAAAAACATGAAAGGACTGTAGTTTTGCCTGAGATTCTAATGTGCATGTTTTTTTTTAGCTGAGATCAGCAGCAGATGTACAGTAGATGAGGTTAAAGCTGACCCTCACAGCTGCTGAGGGTTGTGAGCTGCTTCTGGTGCAGGAAAAACAATGTCTTTTTCTACAGTAAGGTTCAGGGATTGAGCTTCTGTTTGACTTTGTCCTTGAAGCCGCCCATGTGTTTTGTTTTGTTTTTCTTGTCCTGATGTTGTCATGTTTGAAGTCAGATCTTCCTCCAGGACTTCTGAATCTCTGTCATCTGCACAGTTTCAACTGCATGCTGACACACAGATACATACACTAGCCACAGTGAATTGTGTATTTAAGATAATCTCTCTATGAGTTTGATCTGTCATAGGGATAGAATAGATGTCCATGATTGTGTTGTGGGCTGTGGGGGATTTCAAGTTATTAAAGTCATATTGAAGCTGAAGAATGTGTGGGGATATTGGGACTTTATAGCTTCAGGTGATTAGGCTTGATAAATGTTCCTGTCTCTTCTCCACTGCACCATCAGCAAACAACTGTGTGTGTGTGTGTGTGTGTGTGTGTGTGTGTGTGTGTGTGCATCACAAGGTTTCTTTTACTCCTTATGTAATGGGAAAAGAGAAAAAGTGTGTGTGCTTGCAAATGTTTGTTTCTTTGCTAGTTAGAGTAAACACTGTTAACAAAATCCTTCCTTGCTGATATCTAAACTGACCAAACTCAAAACTTGTGTGTTTGTATGTGTCTTTCCCAGTAGCACATTGTTAGGGCAAACTTCCAGTGCATTAAACAGGATACAAACACTGGTATGTGTAGTGACTTTGACCAGACAGAATCTGGGGGTATTATTTTGCTATTTCTAAACAGAATTTTGTAGGAATGATTTTGGGAGTTTAGTAAATAAAAACTGGCGTCACGGGGGTGCAGTGGGTTCAAGCCCCTGGCTCGGTGAGTTGGCATTTCTGTGATGAGTTTGCATGTTCTCCCTGTGTTTGCGTGGGTGCTCCTGTTTCCCCCACAGTCTAAAGATATGTGGTGTAGGTGAATTGGGTAAGCTAAATTGTTCTTAGTGTATTTGTGTAAATGAGTGTGTATGGGTTGCAGCTAAAAGGGCATCCGCTGCATAAAACATATGCTGAACAAGTTGTCGGTTCATTCCTCTGTGGTGACCCCAAATTAATAGCTGGACTAAATGCTCGTACACACCTGGATGCTTTTCGTTTGCATTTATCATCTGCATTTTTTGAGACATTTTTCTGCATTCAAACCGAAGCGATTTTCACTGCCGTCGAGCAGAAGAGTATGCAAAATTATTTCTTGATGTTAGATGCCGCTACACAAATTTAAGCGTCTGACACCCACTTGTAATGTGAATCGTCAAAACAAAAAAACGAGCATGAGGCGTTTCTTTAAAAATTATGCTTTTATGCCTGACGTTTTGCGTGTTGGTGTGCACGATCACATTGGCGCCCTTTTTTAGTCACAAGGCATGAAACATCGACGGAACATGCATCTGGAAAAACACATCCCGAAAAATGCGTCCTAGTGTGAACAACAACAACAACAACAATGACTGAAAAGAAAATTAATGAAGTAAATAAAAACTTAAAATATGTAATAACTTTTTTTAACATTTACAATTTAGTGTTTTCCAGTTGTGGCGGCAGGCCTTTTACACAAATTTACCAACTACCAATGGCGTTATTTCGATGACAAATGGAGAAATTTCGTGAGCTCAGTATTACAAGTCGGAATCGCAATACGAGAATTCAAATCTCTAAAACTTTGTGCACGCCCTCTCAAATATATGCTGCAGATCTTCTTGTGCGCTCTCAAATAAACACTGCTGAAGTGCGATTTAGTGCGTTTATGTAACAAGTATGTCTCCAACATATATAAGATTTGCTTGGAATATTTATCAATTTCTCCAATGCACCTACAGAGTGGCATTAATGCGTCCTGAAGTAAAGTGAAATGGCCATAAACTCTTGCAAGATAGAGTCATTGTATGCAGAGCCATAGACTTTATCTATGAAGTATAATTATGGAAACTGTGTTCATCTTAATTGAATGCTATGTCATGGTTGCTGGCCTCAGGCATCATGCACCTGTCAGTCAGTCAGCATGTCACCCTAAAGGGTTAAACAAATAACGCACAGCACTACTTAGATTAATGAAATGTTCGCACTGTTATAATTCACTTACTTTTAATGCATTTTGATGCGATTATAACCCGCTTTAAAAACAACAACAACAACAACAATGACTGAATGTAGCGAAAACCATGCAATTAATGTTTACACTGCAAATCTAAGTACATCCACTTGTTTGGGAAACAAAACAAAACTTGTTTGGGAAACGAAACATGTCTTTCATATAATATATCTGTTAAATAACTGAAAATATTACTTTACAAGCTGCGTTGCACTTGAATCGTATATCAGGGTGTCCGCGGGGTCTTACGTATTAAAAGTTGATAAATTAATTATGAGAAAATGAAGGCCCTTAAAATGTATTAAAAAGTCTTAATCACATTTTACGAGGTCTTCATTTTTGTCAAGCATTGTCCAAATTGTTTGACTCCAAAAAAGCATAAATATATTTATTTTCCTCTGAATATTAATAACAATGTGCTCAATCCATTCGATTCGTTCGTGCCGGGGCACATCCGGCCAAGCTCCTCCGTGCGGGTGATGTCACATAATTTGTGACAAACGCGGAAAGTCGATTTGACGCGCTCCACATGTAGTGAAACCATAGAACGAAACAGACAGTAAAATGGGAAAATGTAAGTTTGCGTACTCCTCGTTGGAGAAAGACGAGTTTAAACATTGGCTGAAGCCTGTCTCTGAAGACAATCGCGTAATTTATTCTATCAAGCTTTATTTCTTCCGAGCTTATCTGGGTTCGGTTGTGCTCCATTAATTTATTTAACCACAACTGTTTATTAACAACTGTTTATTAAGTTAAAGGTTTGATACTGATTAGAGCTTGAAGTGGTGATGAGGTCTTAAAATATTCTGAGAAGGTCTTTAAAAAGTCTTAATAAGGTATTGAAATTACTTTTAGGATTCCTGCATATACCCTGTATAAACATTTGCATATAATTCAATAATATTACTGAAATTAATATAAAAAGTAAATAAATAGACTTGAATAATGGCTAAATAAATCTATGGAAATCTGCTGATGTTCATGTGTGCAGATTCCGGTTGGGCCTTGGAATGACTGCTGGCAAACTATCCGTCAAGTAAGAGTAGTTGCTGGGTAGTGGCATAGTCAGCAAACCTTACCTTTATCATTGCCTGAGCCTTTGGCAGCACAAAGACTTTGCTTTTCCTTTTTGACTGGGATTGTTACAGGATGTGCCACCGGGGCAGAAGGGCAAACTGCATCAGGACCAGGAAAAGCAAGAGAACTGATGCATGTTCAAACCAGTTAGGACAGGTCCTCCTTGGATATTTCCAGAAATTTCAGGACGCTGTTTTGAGGACAAGAGCAAGGCACTTGTATACCTTCTAGTGTTGTGCATGCGAGACTGTACTCACATTGATCCCAAAGCTCAGTCTTTTCCTGTGTCTTGGATTCAGAGTTTTGTTTGTTCCTCACTTTCCTGTCCGCATCAGAGAAATTCCAGAGAGACAGACAGAGAGAGAAAGAGAGAGAGAGAGAGAGAGAGAGAGAGTAAATGCAAAGGGAAGAGAGCAGAGTAAGAGACGTGTGAATAGAGATGTTCAGTGAGAACCCTGGGAGTTAAAGTCAATTGGGGATGAGGAGAGTTGAGGACAGTCGGCTAAAATTGGTGTGATAATGGCAGAGAGACTGTGATGGACGTTTCTCAGCCCACTGACAATGTTCATTCAGTGTATAATATAATAATGGCCTATATAAAGTGCATTTAAAGGGCCAGTGGTAAGTTCATGTATGTTCTCTGATTAGACAGCTACCTGATTTGTGAAAACTTCTGCTAAACAGACATACATCTGATCTTGTAACAAATCTGTTGAGCTATATGCATATTTGACTAGATTATGTTGACTAAAGTGTAGTAATCTTTTAACTTTCTTGCATCTTTCTTGCTTTATTTCAGGAGGTCTAGGAGAACATGTGCCCACTAAGAAGAGGGGTTCCTTATATCTGCTGCTAGACAGAATACGACGGTTAGGTTTTGGTAAGTTCACACTTTACACATATGCTGAAAATATTTCTTAACTTTAATGTCTAACATACTCCACAGCACAATCTGAAAGAAACTCACATAGCCCTCATCTTGTACTTTTAGCATTAGCGCTAAAGTTTTACCTTGTATTCTAAATGCATCTCATTGATTTAGTTTTATGACAGATGCATATATCAATTCAATTAGTTTGTTTTAATTTATTTTTGGAGCTCATCGTTTTTTAACTCTTCTTCTTAAATCTTCTAGCTCACATTCACATCTGTCTCTATCCAGTAAACTACACTAATATATAGTATATACTATAATAGAATAAATAATAACATATGATATAAAGTATATGGATTTATTTCAATAGCCGCATTTTCACTATCAGGCCAGTGCGAGCCTGGGGTTATATCGGGCCAGGCCGGGCCAATCGCCTGGGAGGTTGAGCAGTGAGGCTGAAATCATGTCGCGTTTCCACTGTGGGGCTAGTAGGTTGCAGCGCGTCAGCAAACCCCGCCCCCAGAACATCCCCCGAATCGAACGTCACTCAAACCGCCCACTTCAGCGAGAATCATGCAGATAAAGCACACCATCACATCATCACGAAACTATTAAAATTAGGACAACCAAAACAAACAAATGACACGTTACTGTACAGCAGTACAACACATGTCTATACGCACATGCCTGTGTGTTTTCATTCATCATATTCATTTACTCGCCGACCGACTGGCATCGAAATCCAGTGGTCTTGCCACCAACGGAGGGACCCAGCGCAGGGAGCGCACACATCCATAATATAACACCACATATACAAAATTCTTCGTTAATAACTCGATATAAAATGTATTTTATAACATCCTCTAGACAGACGCTGTCCAACATTCATCCCAAATGCTCCGGAGAGAACTGAAACATGATTATTTTTCCCTATAGGCTTTATGACACTTAATGGGTGATTCCCTTTATTTAAAGATGTTGCTTATTATATCTTAAGTAAAGGAAAGTGTTCAGTGTTTCAGCACATAAGAGCAGCACGTAATAAAATATTGCCTATATTTCATTGCGCTCAGCAGCAATGCACTAATAAAGCTCTTTATGTATTTTAAATTTCCTTTTTTAATTTTACCACGTTATATAAAAACATACACACTTGTTTGAGGACACAGAACACATTTTGAACTTGCAGTTTTCCCCGTCAAAAAAGTGCTGCGCAGCAGCAGACAGAAAAAAAGGTCGCCTAGTTTCTGCGTTCACTCACCCCGAAAATGCTCTGTTTGCATGATTTGATTAATATCATCGTATCCAAATACTTTATAAATAATATTTAAAACATTTTCCGGTGTTTATTTATTTATTTATTTGTTTAAAAATCTTTTTTTCAAAGAGGCTTTTGAAAAATGAAAGTTTAATATAAATTTGAAACAGTTTGATATAGTACCTAATTGTTATAGCTATAGCTTTTGTTAGTTTTATATTAGTTTATTTATTTAATGTGATTTTATTATAGGCCTATCTAATATTTGTAATTCTTTAAATTATCTAAATATAGCTTAGGCTATTTTATCTAGGTATGACACTATTGTTTTGAGCCCACAAAAGCGGACATGAAAATTGTAAAGTTTAATGTCTTTCTGTTGTATTCATATAGTGTATTATCTCCAAAATAAATTAAAACAATAAAAAGAAAAGAAAAAAGCTGCTCGCGGCATCAAGAGAGCTATGAATGGAGCGCTCTTTTCCTCGGTCTCACACACGCACAGGCATCTAAACGCGCAAAAACACTTATTAAACTTGACAAAACCTCTTGAAATCCTTTACTGTCTGCTGTGTCTTTAATATGGTGTAAAGATTAGTATGCATTATTGAAACATCAAAGAGATGCAGCAAAGAAAAGTGACTTATTAAAACTATCATTTTTTGCAACAACCTTGCATTTAAAAGAGAAACATAAGGGCGATCATATGCAAAAAGACCCCAGCCTATAATTTGTTCCAGATGTTTTCTTTCTCTTATTTATTTATTTGTTATTTGTTTGGCGCATGTACTCGTGTGCGATCGGAAAACTGTGCCCGCCTCTCCTTTCACTCCGCCCCGAAGCCCCGGCTGGCCCTTTTTGGCCCAAGGTATTCGGCGGGCCGAAAAAGGCCGGCCGCTGGCCCCAAAAAAGCCCCGCTTTGGCCCGATTAGGCCCCGGAAGTGACAGTGGAAACGCCACTGGCCTTGACTCGCCCTGGCTCGCTCGCTTTAGGCGCGATAGTGGAAACGCGGCTAATAAGAGCTTGTATGTGTATGCTTAACATTTAGACTTAGAGCAAAAATATCATGAAAGACTAAGGGGCCATTCACATAGAACAGGCTTTTGTGCTACTTTATCATTGTTTTTCCAAATTTGTAAATACAAGCTTGACATGTGCATGAAACTTATGTCTTTTGCAGAGCCACACAGTAAGCACCACATCTTAAATATTTTGCCACTAATTGACACTAATTGCCGGTTTAAGGCAGTAAACCAATCAGAACAACTTGGGGGCGAGGAAAGCATTGCAGGGTAATATTTATAGTAGAAATGAAAGCCGTTTTTTGTTATTAAATCATTAAAACCATTAAGCATTTTTTTTTTACACAAAAGACTCTATTTTAATGATCTAGGCGCAAAGTCTAAAGCGCACGGTGCAAAAGCATTAAGGGCATGTCCAAATCCACTTTAGCCATTTTAACGATAGAAAAATACGCTCTGCACCCCGGCACATGGTCTAACAGGGTTGTGCTTATTTTCTTAATGAGTTATGGGTGTGTTTTGAGCATAATGTGCATTAAACCAGTCAGAGTCTCCAATTCCCTTTCAGAGTCAGTTGCGTTTTGACATGGTGCATTTGCTATTGACATGTAGAAAAACTGAACGCTTCACTAGCGAGAAAACAGAACAGACCATCTGCAGCACGAGGATAAAGAATGAGCCTCCTCTAGTCGGCCTCTTTACTTCCACTTTACATTTAATCTTTACTTTTACTCCTTTACTTTTGTGGATAAGGAAACAGTGAAAACTCACTCCACTGAAGACATCTTTAGACTACATATTTAATTTTATTTGTAAGCGCAAAGATTTGTTTCAAAACTTTTTAAATTCAGCTGACGAATACATCACCATAATCCAACAGGTAGACAAATCTAAACATGAAGAAGGCCTGGTGGTAGTGCTTTCTATATTTATGTAGAAAATCATTTTTGGTAACATTTTAATCCTTTAAGTTTTTTCATATGTAAAGATATTTGTGTATTAAGCAATGTGTACGCATTTTGGACTGCATAGGCATATAACTAACGCACTCTGCACTAGACTTTAGACTAGTTTTAGTTGGTCAATGGCGCGGCCTATTTTAGTTTCAATGCTCCTTAACACACCTCCTTTATAGACTAAAACACCATGAGTCCAAATAGTGGTGCAAATGGATTTGCTAGTTAAACAATGTGGCGCAGAACATAAAAATTATTGTTGCGCTGATCTGAAAATAGCAACAAATTGTGCCATACGCATCTTGCGCCTTATTGTGCCAGGTGTATGATAAGGCCTAAAGACATTGGCGTTTTGATGCTACTTTTACTTTTCATAGAGAGCTTAAGAAAAAGGAAAATATTTAAATGGGAATGAATAGTAAAATATGGGAGAATACTGGCAAAAAGTGAGGGTTGACAGGTATGCACCTTTTTTTAATGTTCCCTAATTGATTTTGCCAATTTTACAGTATATTCAGGTAATAAATGTAGCTCATCTCTCATTACTGGGTTGGGTATTTGATGTGAAATAAGTAATATTGGCAGTTTGAGTGAAAAAAAAATTGCAAGTGAAATAAAAGTGCAGTCGTGTAAGTTTTGATGGTAAATGTAAGATATCTCCATTTTTTTTTTCTCTTTGTGTTGTAGAGTCGTGGCCAGTAAACAGCAGTAAAGATGTGTCAAGCATAAAGACTGGAATAAGGAGAGTAAACAGCGCCAGAAATGTAAAGTCTCGAGTCCCACGTGCTGCTACATCCCGAGCTGAGAAGATCTGGCCTGGAGGAGTCATCCCTTACGTCATAGGAGGCAACTTCACCGGTAAGAGGACTAAGTGTTTGCCTTTTCAGCATCAATGTGTGTGATTTACACATAATGATATTTGTGTGTGTGTTTTTCAGGAAGTCAGAGGGCCATGTTAAAGCAAGCAATGAGACACTGGGAGAAACAGACGTGCGTGACTTTCATAGAGAAGACTGATGAGGAGAGCTACATTGTCTTCACGTACAGACCTTGCGGGTTAGTGTTTCTTTGATTATTATGATTATGTTACGCTTCATGATAGTAATGTACTTTTTTTAACTGTGTTCTACATCACAAAACTTTGCTGGATGTTCTGTTGATAATTGGCTAGTGTCACCTTTCATTTTCCATTGACTTTAGAGCCAAATTAATTGCGTATGCATATCTTCAGTTTGATAGTAGACAACGTTCGAGGTTACTAAAGTAACCCTTCGTTCCCCGAGGAGGGGAACGGAAGCACTATAAGTGGATTTGATTGTAAAATCCACGCATTGGGAGGTTCGGTTCAGAAGCTACTCGTCTGAAAGAGTATTGAACGGGCCAATTAAGAATGAATTGGCAGCGCAAGCCTGCGCAGGTGAGCGGCATAAGCAATCAACTGAGTATATAAGCTCACCTGGCGCAGCAGACGCTATCCTTTTTAAGCTGAAGAGACTTTCAACAGCTAAGGGACAGTCATTATGGCGACGGAGTATAGTGCTTCCGTTCCCCTCCTCGGGGAACGAAGGGTTACTTTAGTAACCTCGAACGTTCCCCTTCGGGGGGAACTTCAGCACTATAAGTGGATTTGATTGTAAAATCCACGCATTGGGAGCCCATTGAAAGCGCCATAATGACTGCACCTTACCAACACCCCCGATGAGGAGATAGTCAAGCAAGCGTGACGCACCCACATCATGGGGGGCGCGGTCCTCCAACGTGTCCCTGGCCCTAATTTATCCTACTTCAACAGAAGTTTTACGGATTTATATATATTTTTTGGGAAGTCGTGAGCATCTAGATAATTCTAGGAAAATACGACAGTACGTTGGGAAGCGTGCAATCCCGATAGGGAGGACGCTGCGGAGGCCATCCGTTACCCAAGGGGGGATAGATGGCAGAATTTACATATGGACTAGCCCTAAAAAGGGGGAGTACGCATAGCAAAAGAGTGGTTAGCGGGGAGGGAAGACACGGGTCCGCCCAGGGGGGGGGGACTTAACCGTGGCTGAATAAGCATATGGGATCGCCTAGTGGGGACCACGCATAGCAGGCACCTTTACCCAAAACGCGGGCTGACCAGCGGGCAGACCTACAACGTAGTGGGCCAGCAAGTGACTCCTCCGCTGAGTCAGTGCTGGGGGCCACGGAGGAATCTGCAGGGCTCACCTGACGGGGAACTTTACTGACAGATAAAAAGGCGCACGTATCTCCGTGTTAGGGAAAATGGCGCAGCAAGCGTGTTTCAACACCCTACCGAATTGTTTCCTCAATCACCAAGGGTTACCTAATACCCTTGAGGAAACCGGCTCCACTCGCAGATTGTAAAACCTTGCAAATGTGTTGGGTGTCACCCAGCCCGCAGCTCTACAGATGTCTGTTAGAGGGGCGCCGCGTGCGCGCGCTCGAGAGGATGCGAAGCTCCGAGTGGAGTGCGCACGCGCTCTCGGGGGACGCGGCTCATCTCGGCTCTGATAGTGAAAGAAAGGCATCCACAATCTAGTGGGAACTTATTTCGGTACGGCACTTCCCTGCTGCCGACCGCTATAACAGACGAAGAGCTGCTCAGATGATCTAAACTCTGAGTGCGGTCCGGATAATACGCAAAACGCGAACTGGACAATAAATAAGGGCTGGGTCTGCCTCCTCCGAGGGCAGCGCTTGCAGGCTCACTACCTCGTATTAAAACGGAGTGGTAGGAACCTTGGGCACATATCGCGGGCGGGGTCTCATACGTGAGAGAAGCCAGCCCAATTACAGGCACGAGTCACTGACCGAAAAATGCCTCCGGGTCCCCGACCCTCTAATCGATATCAACGCGACCAGCAGAGCTGTCTTCAGGGACAGAAAATACTGAGTCGAGGATCGAAGGGATCTGACGCGGCTTGTGTAGCGAGGGCGAGATCCTAAGAGGGCATGAGAGGGGGCGGGGTGGATTAATTCGCTTAACGCCCCTGAGGAACCGGATGATGAGGTTATGCGTTCCCACGGTGCTGCCAGCCACCGCGTTATGAGAGCGGAGATGGCAGCCACGTAACCTTGAGTGTGGAGGGCGACAGCCTGCTCTCCAACTTCTCTCGGCGTAAAGAAAGCACAACGCTGATCTGGCAAATTACGGGGGTCTTCTCAGCGAGAGACACACCATTCAGTGAATAGACTCCACGTCAGGGCATAGGCGCGCTCGGGGAGGGGGCTCTAGCCCGAGTGACGGTATTAGCCACCGCAATCGGAGGTTACCTAAGTCTTCCTCGCGTCTAAAAATCTCTTCAAAGATCGGCGAGGGTGCCAGGTGGTGCCCTGTCCCTGAGAGAGTAGGTGCTCTCTCGAAGGGACTGCCAGGGGAGGGCTATCGCGAGGGAGAGCTCTGACATCCAGGTCCGGTTGAGCCAGAGGGGCGCAACCAGCAACCTGTTCCTCGTCCTCCCTGACCATGCACAGTAACTGCGCGAGCAGGCTCACTGGGGGAAACGCGTATTGCGCGTGCCCCGAGGCCAGCTGTAAGCCAGTGCATCCGTGCCGAGAGCACTCGGTCAGGGAAAGAACAACTGGCAATGAGCGATCTCGGGGGAAGCAACAGATCGATCTGGGCTTCCCCGAATCGCGCCCATATCAGCTGAACAGACTCGGGGTGGAGTCTCCATTCTCCAGGACGCAAGGCTGCCGTGAGAGCGCATCGGCTGCACGGTTGAGCTTGCCTGAATATGAATGGCGTGCAGCGATTTCAGCCGCGGATGACTCCAGAGGAGCAGACGGCGGGCGAGCTGAGACATGCGGCGAGAGCGCATACCCCCTATACGGCTGATATACGCCACCGCCGCCGTACTGTCCGTCCTGACCAGCACGTGTTGCCGCTCCAACACCGGAAAAAAACGGTGGAGAGCGGGGAACACTGCCAACAGCTCCAGGCGATATGCCAATGCAACTGGGTACCTTTCCACAGGTCCGCATGCCCGCAACGCACAGCCCCCCAGCCCGTGTTGGAAGCGTCTGCTGAAACGACAACAAGACTGGACGCCTGTTCTAGAGACACCCAGGCCTGTAGGAACGAGGGGTCGCTCCAAGGGCTGAGGGCGCGGCGACACAGCGCAGTAACAGAGACTCGGTGTGCGCGCGCGTGCCATGCGCGTCTGGGGACTCGATCGTGAAGCCAGTGCTGAAGTGGTCTCATATAGAATAATCCGAGCGGCATGAAGCGGCTGCGGATGCCATATGCCCCAGGAGCCTCTGAAATTGTTTCAGTGGGACCACTATTTTACTGTCGAGCTCTCTCAGACAGTACAGCATCAGCTGAGCGCGCTCTCCGGAGAGGCGCGCTGCCATGGTGACCGAGTCCAGCTCCAGCCCGAGAGAAGAGATCCTCTGCACGGGGGCGAGTTTGCTCTTTTCTCGGTTGACCTGAAACCCCCACAGGTGGAAGTGCCAGAGCACTTTGTCTCTGTGCATAATCAACTCTGTGCATAATCAAAAGAGAGGGCAATTCAGCCAGTCGTAAAGAAATTGAGTATGCAGATGCCCGCGAGCCGAAGGGGCGCTGAGGCACCCTCCGCGGGCTTGGTGAGGACCCGCGGAGACAGAGAGAGCCCGAAGGGGAGGGCTTTGTATTGCCAAGCTCGACCTTCAAACGCAAACCGCAGAAACTGTCGGTGGCGAGGAAGAGTGGAGACATGGAAATACGCGTCCATCAGGTCTAATGCTGCAGACCAACCCAGAGGACGAACGCACCGGAGGATGCGCTTCTGCGTGAGCATTCTGAACGGCAGCTTGTGCAGGCAGCGGTTCAAAACGCGCAGATCTAGGATTGGCCGTGACCCACCGCTCTTTTTGGGCACGATGAAGCGTGGGCTGTAAAACCCGCTCTCCATCTCGGCTGGAGGGAGCGGCTCGATTGCATCCTTCGCCAGGAGGACAGCAATCTCCTCTCGCAAGACAGGGGCGGACAGGGGGCTGACCCTGGTGAATACACACCCGTGACTTGGGGGGCCGTTTCGCGAACTGAATCGCATAGCCGAGTCTGATTGTGCGTATGAGCCACCGCGAAGAGCTGGCCCGCGCTAACCAGGCAGGCAGAGCTCTCGCTAATGGACTCATCGCTACAATCGCTGACGTACCAGCAGTGGGGCAGCGCGGAGTGGGTGTGCTGATCCGGGAAGCTCGCGGGTCCCACGGAAAAGCTGGAGGTGAGATATTTGCTCTCACTCCAAACCCGAGCTCCGGAGGGGAGGCTCGAGGGGTGGGAGAAAGGAGACCGTCCTCCCAGCGCTCGTGAGCCACTGGCGAAACGCACCGAATCTGCAAGCTAGAAAGCATAGCGTCCCAGACTGGCAGATTTCGGGCTGTCACATCTGGGGAAGTGAAAAGTGCCCTTTCATAATGTTTTCATGGCAGTAAAAAGTGCCGTTGGAAATGGGGCCCCGCCCTCCAGCGGGGAAAGAGCAAGTTCCCTCTTCTCCAGATGGCCTGTCCCAGGGGCGCTTCGCGGTCCGTTGCCGGACTTAGCGGCGTTCTGGGCAGGGGGGCTGCCTGCTTCCGAGGTGCCCGACGCGCTCGCTTCGCCTTAGGCGTGTGCGGGGGCGGAGCAGCTCTCGTAGGCGGGCGCCTTCGGCGAGGAGCAGGTATGAATGGCACGGCGGGCGGAGCGGGCTACGGACCGCCGATAAGACATCACCCACCAACTGCTCTCTCACCGCCTTGAATTCCTGGGTGAATTCACAGACAGTGTCGCCGAACCTGGCTGGGGATATGGGGAAGTCAAGAAAGCGGACTTTGTCGACTTTGCGCATATCAGCCAGGGGTGGCGCTCCTGGACCACTAATGTGGACATCGTCCTCCCCAACGCACACGCAGCGGACTCAGTAGTCCGAAGAGCTAAGTCGGCGGCGGTGCGAAGCTCGTAAGCCTGGGTTGGACCCACCCTCGTGCAGCTCGGCCAGCGCCTGCGCTTGGTAGCGCTGGTAGGTGGCTATCGCATGCAAGGCGGAAGCAGCCTGGCCCGCAGCTATGTAAGCTCTAGCTCCGAG